AATGGAAAATACAGAAGAAATGGACAGATTCCTAGATACATATATGAACTTCCAAATTTGAACAAAGAAGATATAAAAAGTCTAAGCACCCCAATTACATTTAGTGAAATTAAAAATGTAATTAAAACATTACCAACAAAGAAAAGCCCAGGTCCTGATGGATTCACTGCTGAATTCTACAAGACATGTAGAAAAGAACTATCACCAATACTTGTTAAACTCTTCAATAAATTGAAAAGGAAGGAATACTTCCAAATTTATTCCTGGAAACAAGTATTACTTTGACTCCAAAACCAGGAAAAGGCCCAACCAAAAAAGAGAATTATAGGCCAATCTCCCTAATGAACATAGGGAAAATCCTCAATAAGATACTGGCAAATAGAATACAGAAGATCATCAAGAAGATCATGCACCTTCACCAAGTCAGATTTATCCCAGGGAGGTAAGGATGGTTCAACATATGTAAATCGATAAGTGTAATACACTATATTAACAGAATGAAGTATAAAAACCATATGATCATCTCAATAGATGCAGAAAAAGCATTTGACAATATTCATGATAAAAACCCTACAGAAAATTGGAATAGATGGTCTTTATTTCAACCTGATAAAGGATATCTATGAAAAAACAACAAACAATATCATTCTAAATAGTCAAAAACTGAAAACCTTCATGCTAAAATCAGGAACAAGACAAAGATGATGTCCACTGTCCCCACTCCTGTTCAATATAGTTCTAGAAACATTAGCCACAGCAATTAGACAAGAGAAAGAAATAAAAGCAATAAAGATAGGAAAGGAAAAAGTTAAACTGTCACTATTTGCTGATGATATGATACTCTATATAGAAGAACAAAAAACTCTGCCAAAAGACTGCTAGACTTAATTGACAGATTCAGTAGAGTAGCAGGATACAAAATCAACACTCAAAAATCAATAGCCTTGTTGTACACAATTAACATACTCACTGTGAAATTCCTTTCACAATAACATCCAAAAAAATGAAATATCTACAAATCAATCTAATGAAAGAGACAAAAGACCTTTACACTGAAAATTACAGCACTCTGAAAAAAGAGATAGAAGAGGATATAAAAAGACGGAAAGATATTCCTTGCTCCTGAGTAGGAGGAATCAACATAGTGAAAATGGCCATACTTCCAAAACTGCTATACAGATTTAATGAAATCCCAATCCCAACAGTACAGAACTTGCGAAAACAATCCAAAAATTCATTTGGAACCAGAAGAGACCTAGAATAGCAAAAACCATTCTAGGCAACAGAGACATAGCAGGGGGTATCACAATTCCCAACTTGAAACTATACTATAAAACCACTGTGATAAAAACAGCATGTACTAGCAAATAAACAGACCAGAGGATAAATGGAATAGATTAGAAGATGCAGAAACAACACCAGACATACTCAGCTACCTCATCCTTGATAAAGGAGCCAACCATCCTCACTGGAGGAAAAATATGCTGCTTAAATAATGGTGTTGGAAAAATTGAATTTCCAGTTGCCAAAGATTAAAACTAGATCCCTATCTTTCACCATGCACTAAACTAAAATCCAAGTGGATTAAAGATCTAAATATCAAAACAGAAAAAACTAAAGTGACTGGAAAGTAAATTAGGTAGAGATCTTGAAGATATTGGCATAGAAGGCTTTACAAAAAAATCAGCAGCCTGAGAACTTGCACAAATAATAAACAGTTGATATCTCATTCTATTAAAAAGATTTTGCAGTGCAAGATAAATCACCAATAGAGCTAAGAGACAGCCTACAATGTAGGAAAAAATATTTACCAGCTACTCCTCAGACAAAGGACTACTACCTAGAATATATAAATAACTAAAAAAATCAGACCCCTCCTCCAATACAAAGACCAGATTCAAAAATGGACATCTAAAATGAACAGACATTTCTTAGACAAAGAAGTAAAAGAAGCAAATAAATATATGAAAAAATGTTCCACATCTCTGGTCATTTGAGATGAAAACAACACTGAGATTCCACCTCACCCCAGGAAGAATGGCTGCTATCAAGTAATCAACCAGTAACAAATACTGGCAGGGCTGTGGGGAGGAAGGAACCCTTCTCCACTGTTCGTGGGAATGCACACTGATACAACCACTGTGGAAATCAATATAAAGATAACTCAGATAACTAGGATTAGAGGTTCCATTTGACCCAGCTGTCACTCTGCTCAGTATCTTTCCAAAAGAATGAAAAGAATCATGCCACAGTGATATATGTGCACCCATTTTTATAGCGGCAGTTTGTAATAGCTAAAACTTGGAAATAGCCCAAATGCCTATCAACTGGAGACTGGATAAAGAAGATGTGTTCTTTCTATAAAATGAAATACTACTCAGCCATAAAGAATGAGAAACTAGAGTCATTTATAGCTAACTGGATGCACATTGAGGCTATATTCCTAAGTGAAAGAAATAGGACATGTGAGTAAATACCAAATAGTTTCTCTGGTGTGAAAACTAAAAGTGTAAATAAGGTTCAAATAGTATAATTGAGAGTGTGAGATAGGAATAAAATGGCTAAAGGAGAAGTGGGAAGGGGAGTGGAAAGGAAATAGGGGAAAAGAAAAAAATGTGGAAAAAATGAAAAAAGGAAACAAAGTCTTTGTAAATAGGGAAGGGTGAAGGGGTTGAAGGGAGGGTAGGGGTGTGAGGAAAAAAACAAGAACCAAGATATATCATGTAAAGTACAAGATCCCAATGATAAATGTAACTGTATTGTTTGCTTTAAATGTACCAGTTAGAGAGAAGAGGAAGGCATGGCTTGTTTGGGAGTTGTGGTGATTTGGGGGTAGAGTTAAGGGGGGGTCGCTCTTGTGGGGCAGGCAAGACTTGCATGGTTTGACTTTCTGACAAGTGACAAGAGAGGGAACATTCAGGAGGTTTTTTTTTTTTTCAATTGATTTTTTGGCTTACCTATGGGGCAAAAGGGGGAGCAGAAGTGGAACTTGAGAGCTTTCAGCAGCCAAAAGCATTGAACATGGAGATAAAAACTATTTCTACCACTTCCCACAATGAGGGAACCACATCTCCAAGATAGTGCTACCTCTCCTGACTGGCAAAGGGACTTGCTTGCTACTTTAACTATGATACCGACTCCAGTGTTCCCTTCCTGGAAGAACCACACAATAGCAACATTACTCCTTCCTGACTATGCCCCCCACCTCAAAAAAAAAAAAAAACAGATCATTTTTCTCTGGAAAATTATGAGTAAAGAAAAGATACAGGGCTACAAGTATAGCTCAGTGGTAGAACATCTGCCTAGTATGTATGAGGTCCTGGGTTTGATCCCCCGCACTGCAAAGAAAGAGAAAGAAACAAAGAGAGGGAGAGAGGAAGAGAGGGAGATAAAAAGAAGGAGAGAAAGAGAGAAGGAGAGGGGGAGAGAGAGGGAGAAGGAAGAAAAGCAGATACAAAATTCAACAAACTGAAAAAAAATTTTTAAAAGACGGAATATTTTTGTTGTCTTATTCCCTTAATAATATGGCATAACAACTATATATCAGTTATACTGTATTAAGTATTATAAATAATATGGAGAAAATTTCACATGAGTATGTACATATGTTATGTATAAATATGCCATTTCCTATGGGAAACCTCAGCTTCCACAGATTTTAATGTCTTAGAGAATCCTGGGACAAATCTTCTACAGATGCCAAGGGATGACTTAAATTAAATAGTGTCTTTATGAATTACTTTTTATAGGAATTCTTTCTTTTAACCACATAATAACTATGTGAGACTATAAGGGCAGATATGCTGCTATTATATGCTAAAAGCATAATCAGAACTCTTAACTGCATACAATAATAAAGTTAGTGACAAATACAATACAATGAATAGCTTACAATAATGCATATTTTAACTTTAGAATATGTGTCTGCTGTATCCTTCAAACAAATATATCTTGAAGCATATTTATCAACTGACAGGAAGGAAATGCTTTAGTCCTCAAAAGAAGAAAATGCTATCACTTGGTGGAAAGTAGAAGTAGAACCTAACAATTCAGTGTGAGTTGGTGTATGTTGTAGTCCAAATGCCTAAATAGTTACTTCATTCATCCAATACTTTGCTTCCTTGGGTTTCCTAAGAAATTACTACTAAAACTACCAGAGGAGTTCTATAAACTGCAATACCTATGATTTTGTTTTATAATTTTTAGTGTATAATCTCTGCATTTTAAATACTTTCACTTCAAAATAAAGTGCACTTATAGAAAAATTGATCTTAGATTTTACTCATAATTGTGTTTTTATTTCTATTCACTTTATTACTCATTACTTATTGTAACAAAAATGTAATAAGATTGGCATTTCAGTTATGATGGAATAAAGCAAGACAATATCAATTAGAAATGTGTGCATAAGATATGAGACTCCTCTTTCAATCCTTTCTAGATCCCAGGTTAACTTCCAATAACTTAGTAGTGCCTTCTATGAACATTTTTTTTAGGAAAAAAATGCTTCCCCCCATTTGTTATATCTAGTAAGTGGCTTATTGGATATTATATGCAGTCATTGATCATGTATTAAAGACTTTCCTCTTTGAAACAACAGCATATCTTGGAGAAAGGTCTTTTTTTTTGTTGTTTTTTTTTTGTTTTTTTGGTACCAGGGATCGAACTCAGGTCCTTGTGCTTGCCAGGCAGGTGCTGGAACCACTGAGCTAAATCCCCATCCCTGGAGAAAGGTTTTAAAGACCACCCACACAATATAATTATCATTCATATGCAGGTATGGAAGTCAAGAAGATCTTTGAATTAGATAATTAAGCAGGCTATAGTTTAGGTTATTGAACTAACAGTCATAAGAGTATTGGACCCAGGTCCCACCTAAGTCCTAATAAACAGTTAAATATGTCAAGTTCCATGTCCCCTCAGAGTTCAGTGGGTTTTGCTAAGAGCGAGGTTTCCAAATAGAATTCTGTCCTCATGAGAACTTTGGCTCTTTCTCATAGGTTGGTATTATAGGCTTTTTATCAACTTTGTGCTATGAAGGTATATCTTCTTTGTGCTGCAAACCTACTTCCCAGCTGTTGATGGTGATGCTGTCATGGGTTTCATTCTGGATTGACCGAAGAGCTGTTCCTGCTGGAGTGTCCCTGGGTAAATAAGTCTTTCCACACCTTGTAAAATTCATGGGAGGAAGACTAGAGGAAGTAAATAAAAATGAAGGAAACAGTGAGAAAAAGAGAGTGTTGGTTTAGTAGATACTGAGAGTTATACTTTAAAGTTGAAGTATTTATCTTGCCAGCTTCAAGTGCACATTGCAAATTAAGCTCTTTTCTTGGGAAGCAAGGTTTTAGAGATGAAGGCTGTACTGACTCATCTGCAGCTGTATGATAGTAAGGAAAGAAGGTAGAGCTATGAAACATAAATGACCTAACTATAAAAAGCTATCCCGTTTCCCTTTTGAGGAACACCCTTTCCCTTGCCCAAGTCCTTTTGGTTTTGCATGACAAACCTTTAAATTTTAGAAGGAAGAACTTTTAAACTAACTCACAATGTACTGTTGGTGTCTTAATAAATTCAGGAAGTGGGTGGATGCTTGAATTTGGGAATGTGAGGGCTGATTAGAAATTAGGGCATAACTCAGAGGCCAAAATCAAAAGCAACCGCAGTGGAATTTTAGGTACTGCAGTATTTCAGTCAGCCAATTTCAGGTGGAGAGACATTGCCAGCCTCGTTAAGTCACCACACAAATGAGATTATCTATTCCATCTAGCATGTTATATGCCACTGTCACACACACACTGATTTATGGGAACTATTTTAGACCCACTTAGCAGTTATTGAATCCTTACAAAGTGGAAGGTGCCAAGCTAAGCACTTATATGACATGCTTCTTAATGAGAACCCAAGGGTAAATCCTGCTTGCCTTCCTGTCTGGTTCAGGGTAGAGCTGCCTCGTTTCATCTGATTTTGCTTTTACCTGTCATAATCTATCTTGAGAGAAGATTTTGAGAAGTGCTTCACAATCATTGTAATTATCAGACAATTCATTTCTGAAAGGATGGTATTGAAGTTAATATTCACAAATTATATGCATACTTCAAAAGATCATTTGAAAGACATAAATTATTAATATCAATAATTTTTTTCACCTCTTTCCCTTCTTAAGAGCTTCAATCTGAAAACAGTTGAGGCTTGAATGTCTACAAGGAAAAAATAACCATCTGAATGCACAATTAAATTATTTTGACTATGTCATTTCACCGGAGATTTTGTCCTGACCGCAGTACTACAGTGCAGTAGCAGAGACCCATAGGGGAGACTGAGGGCACATGCCTAGCCCTGGAGCCAACACGAGAAAGGCATCGGTCTCTAAAGGTTCCTGAACATGATGTTCAGTGTCCTCAAGTTGACTGCACTGCTCTTACTCTGTTAGAGTGACACCTATAAGAGCTAGTTCCACAGCAGGTTGAGGAGAACAGAGACCATGAAAGACTACATTGAAGTCATTTCCAGAATTCTGTCCTCCTACATCCACATCCTATCCCTGGGAATTAGGAAATTCCTGTATACATGTATGTAAAATATTATACAATCAAAAGGTCCCTCTGTCTTTTTGTTAAATCAGGAGAACAGAAGTACTCCTAGAACCCTTGTCAAACTTTTCAAAGATTCTTTTCACTCTGCTTTATTCACCCCTCCAAATGGTATGCCATTCAATTCCTGGAAGGGAAGTGTAATATTCTGATCAAATCATGTTCATTAATATTTCCATCTCATTATCATTACTTTGTGTTTGGAGCCTTCAAGTTCCACTTATGCAGTCACTCATGAAAAATATAACAGATTGTGAACTATGGCCCCCTCTGTCCTGTAGAATACAAGGACTTACTACTTCTATCTGTGTTTGAGTACCCATTGTCCATTCCTCCCTATCCTCTCTCCCCTCTAAGCACCCCAGTCTCTAGTAATCACTGTTGTAATTCTGCTTGATTTGATTTAATATGTACAGAGAAGAGAAAATGAAATATGCAGAATTTGTCTTTCTGTGCCTGTCATTTCACTTCACATAATGGTTTCTAGTTTCACCTGTTTTTCTGTAATACATTTCATTTTTCTTTATGGCTGAGTAATATTCCATTTTATAGAAAAACCACAACTTCTTTATCCAGTTTCCAACGGATGGACAAATGGGCTGTTTCCAAGATTTAGCTATTACAAACTGTGCCGCTATAAACATGGGTGCGCATACTTCTCTGTGATATGATTTTTTAGTTCTCTTGGAAAGATACCCAGCAGAAGGATGGCTGGGTCAAATGCAACCTCCAGTCCAAGCTCTCTGAGGTATCTCCATATTGATTTCCATAGTGGTTACACCAGTCTGCACTCCCACCAACAATAGAGAAGGGTTCCTTTCTCCCCACAACCCCGCCAACATTTGTTATTGTTTGATTTCTTGAAAGCAGCCATTCTTTGTAGGGTGAGGTGGAATCTCAGTGTTGTTTTCATCTGCATCTCTCAAATGACCAGTGATGTGGAACATTTTTTCAAATATTTTCTTGCTGCTTTTACTTCTTTGTCTGAGAAATGTCTGTTCATTTCCGATGCCAATATTTGAATTGGGTCTTTATATTTGGGGGGACTGATTGTTTTGAGTTCTCTATATATCCTTGATAATAGTTCTTTGTCTGAGAAACAGCTGGTAAAAATTTTTTCCCACATTGTAGATTGTCTCTTAGTTCTGCTGATGGTTTCTTTTGAAGTACAGAAGCTTTTTAGTAAGATGAGATCCCAGTTGTTGATTCTATCTGCTAGTGCCTGTGCTACTGAGGATTTGTTCATAAAGTCTTTTCCTATACCAATGTCTTCCAGAGTTCTTCCTAACTTACCTTCCAGCAAGTTTAATGTTTCTGTTTTAATATTTACATCTTTAATCCATTTGGATTTTAATTTAGTGCCTGGCGAAAGATAAGGGTCTAATTTTAATCTGTGGCAGGTTGACATCCAGTTTTTCCAACACCATTTATTAAAGAGGCTATCTTTCCTCCACTGAGGATGGTCAGCTCCTTTGTCAAAGATGAGGTAGCTGAGTACATCTGGGTTTGTTTTTGTGTCTTCCAGTCTGTTCCACTGATCCTCAGGCCTATTTCTTTGCCAGTATCATGCTGTTTTTATCACAGTGTCTTTGTAGTATAGTTTCAAATTGGGAATTGTTATACCTGGTGCCATGTGTCTGTTGCCTAAAATGGCTTTTGCTATTCTTGGTCTCTTATGGTTCCAAATGAATTTTTGGATTCTTTTTTCTAGTTCTGTGAAATATAGTGTTGGAATTTCAATTGGCATTGAATTGAATGTATATAGCAGTTTTGGTAGTATGGCCATTTTCACTATATTGATTCTTCCTACCCAGGAGCAGGGGATATCTTTCCATTTTTTAATATCCTCTCCAATTTCTTTTTTCAGAATGCTCTAGTTTTCAGTGTAGAGATCTTTTTTTTCTTTTGATAGATTGATTCCTAGATACTTCATTTTTTTGGATGCTATTGTAAAAGGTATTTTTTCCCTTGTTTCTCTCTCCATGTGCCTGTTATTTGAGTATAAGAAGGCTGGTGATTTTTGGGTATTCACCTTGTGTCCAGATACTCTACTGAATCTGTCAATTAAGTCTAGAAGTTTTTTGGTGGAGTTTTTTGAGTCTTCAATGTAGAATATCATATCATCAGCAAATAATGATAGTTTAACTTCTTCCTTTCCTATCTTTATTGCTTTAATTTCTTTCTCTTCTCTAATTGCTGTGGCTAATGTTTCCAGAACTATATTGAGGAGAAGTGGTGATAATGGGCATCCTTGTCTTGTTCCTGATTTTAACATGAAGGTTTTCAGTTTTTGGCCATTCAATATGATGTTGGCTGATGGTTTTTCATAGATAGCCTTTATTAAATTGAGATATAGACCATCTATTCCAATTTTTTGCAGGGTTTTTTATCATGAATGGGTGTTGAATTTTATCAAATGCTTTTTCTGCATCTATTGAGAGGATCATATGGTTTTTGTCCTTGACTTTGTTAATATAATGTATTACATTTATGGACTTTCGTATGTTGAACCACCCTTGCATCTCTGGAATAAATCCTAGTTGGTCAGGATGGATGATCTTAATAATCCTCTGTATTCTGTTTGCTAGTATCTTATTAAGGATTTTTGCATCTATATTCATTAAGGAGATTGGTCTGTAGTTCTCCTTTTTAGTTGTATCTTTCCCTGGTTTGGGAATCAAAGTGATACTTGCTTCCAGGAATGAATTTGGAAGTATAGCTTCCCTTTCAATTTCATTGAAAAGTTTGAAGAGTAATGGT